AATTTCAAGTACAGATTCAACCACAAAGACCAAAGGTTTTTCAATGCCTCGCAAAGAAGGGCACCGATTGGTACAGACGCTGAATATCCCTTTGTGCGCGGTGAAGTTATTAATTTGGTTTTGGATGGTGTATCAATACACCCAGTCACTACAAAGATACAGAGTTCTCACTTTAATATGTCCAAGGATCATTTAGTAGACTGACAACCTTTGTACAACTTTGAAAATAATATACCTTTAGTTTACATGCAACATAAAATAGGCATACCCAATACAATAGGCTTACTGTGCGCAACTATGGAGCAAAACAGACGGGGTTGGCTTAGAATGATGACAACATGTAAACTACACTGAACAAAAATATAAGTGCAACATGCAAAGTGTTGGTCCCATTTTTCATGAGCTGAAATAAAAGATCCCAGAAATGTTCCATACGCACAAAAAGTGGGGGGCTTGATGAGTGTCAACGTGGAGCAATCATCAAAGACAAAGAGAAGTGGGGGGAGGCAGTGGCTGGGAGATGGTGGGAGGTGGTCAGGTGGGCGTTATGTTAAGTGATTGACAATCTGTAATCCTCTCATTAGGCAGCTATTTGTTTTGGGATATGCAGCATCACAGCTTATTTCTCTCAAATGTTGTGCACACATTTGTTTACATCCCTGTTAGTGAGAATTTCTCCTTTGCCAAGATAATCCATCCACCTGACAGGTGTGGCATATCAAGAAGCTGATTAAACAGCGTGATCATTACACTGGTGCACCTTGTGCTGGGGACAATAAAAGGCTACTCTACAATGTGCAGTTTTGTCACACAACACAATGCCACAGCTGATTCCAGTTTTGAAGGAGCGTGCAATTGGCATGCTGACTGCAGAAATGTCCACCAGAGCTGTTGCCAGGGAATTTAATGTTCATTTCTCTACCATAAGCTGCCTCCAATGTCATCGTGGTCCTCTGTAGCTCAGCTGGTAGAGCACGGCGCTTGTAACGCCAAGGTAGTGGGTTCGATCCCCGGGACCACCCATACACAAAAGAATGTATGCACGCATGACTGTAAGTCGCTTTGGATAAAAGCGTCTGCTAAATGGCATATTATTATTATTATTTTAGAGAATTTGGCAGTACGCCCAACCGGCCTCACAACCGCAGACCACGTGTAACCACGCCAGCCCAGGACCTCCACAGCCGATGTCTTCACCTGTGGGATCGTCTGAAACCAGCCACCCAGACAGCTGATGAAACTGTGGGTTTGCACAACCAAAGAATTTCTGCACAAACTGTCAGAAACCGTGTCAGGGAAGCTCATCTGCGTGCTCGTCGTCCTCACCAGGGTCTTGACCTGACTGTAGTTCGGCATCGTAACCGACTTCAGTGGGCAAATACTCACCTTCGATGGCCACTGGCACGCTGGAGAAGTGTGCTCTTCATGGATGAATCCCAGTTTCAACTGTACCAGGTAGATGGCAGACAGCGTGTATGGCATCGTGTGGGCGAGCGGTTTGCTGATGTCAATGTTGTGAACAGCGTGCCCCATGGTGGTGGTGGGGTTATGGTATGGGCAGGCATAAGCTACGGACAACAAACACAATTGCATTTTATCTATGGCAATTTGAATGCACAGTGATACCGTGACGAGATCCTGAGGCCCATTGTCGTGCCATTTATCCACCGCCATCACCTCATGTTTCAGCATGATAATGCACGGCCCCATGTCGCAAGGATCTGTACACAATTCCTGGAAGCTGAAAATGTCCCAGTTCTTCCATGGCCTGCATACTCACCAGACATGTCACCCATTGAGCATGTTTGGGATGCTCTAGGTCGACGTGTACGACAGCGTGTTCCAGTTCCTGCCAATTTCCAGTCACTTTTAACAGCCATTGAAGAGGAGTGGGACAACATTCCACAGTCCACAATCAACAGCTTGATCAACTCTATTAGAAGGAGATGTGTCGCGCTGCATGAGGCAAATGGTGGTAACACCAGATACTGACTGGTTTTCTGATCCACGTCCCTACTTTTTTTTTTTTAAAGGTATCTGTGACCAACAGATGCATATCTGTATTCCCAGTAATGTGAAATCCATAGATTTAATGAATTTATTTAAATTGACTGATTTCCTTACATGAACTGTAACTCTGTAAAATCTTTGAAATTGTTGCATGTTGCGTTTATATTTTTGTTCAGTGTATATTTAGTTTCCAAATGTTTATTGAGAAGATATAAATACATTTGCACAATGAGCACTTGCTGTCCCTCAAATACATCGTTATAGTTGTTGGTTAACTAGCTAGCGAATTTTAGCCATATTAGCGTTGAAATGAAATCAGTCAAAACACCGCAAAACAATACCAGAGGGGTATCCTACGAAGCAGTTTTGAGGAGTTAGCGAGGTAACTTTGGTCAACTCTGAGTTCAACTCGGGATAACAGATCATACAAAAGTGGCTCACCTTTTAGCCAGGTACATTTCTATGGCAATGAATCCCAAAAGCCTATTTTACACTATAGCCTGCTGAATTTGCAAGATAACTTATCTTCTAAAATAAAATTGCCCATGGATTTATGTTTCAGCATTGTCTCAATGAAGAGCCATGTGCAACATGCATGCGCAGTTACAAGCCTGCTATAGTTAGCGGCAGGCGGTCTAGCAATTTCCACCATCGTAGTATGGACGAAGCCTGGGCTGGAATGTGAAGCTAACTGAAGCTGGTTAGCTTTAGAAAACCCTGAGTAGATCTAGCTTGCTTCGTAGGATACCCATCAGGCAGTTTGAGTTTGAGTTTCAGCCACCTACCATTCCCCACATGGCAGCTTCTTGTCATTGTTTCTAGCTATCTGACCATTCAGAATCATAACAAAGCAGGGATTCTGGCCCTATCCATGCGTGAGCATTATTTTGTGACTTTGTCAGCCAACCCATCTATGGAGAGTGGATTTACACAGCTGCAGGGAACAGCATGACTTTTCTCTCAAAACAGTGCAGAGGTGAAAGATGGCTGTGGTAGGAAATCCCCACTGTAATTTTGCCATACCCTACGTTTAGCTGAAAGCCCCTGCTGAAAGTATGTAGGGATTTTGGCACATGATTTGCATAATGTTCAAAATGTATGAAAAAAGTTAACCTTGGGTTATAAGAATAGTAGGCCTACCTTTTAGGCCATATGGGTTAGTGAAAAAAGCACAACGCAACGAACATCGATTTTGATTGAAAATAAGTTTTTTGTTTAAAAACTTGTAATAGTGAAAGAGTCACCCACATTCAGTCAGCAATAGTAAGTCCAGACCAAAAAAAAGCCTATTTTGGTAGTTTTACGGTAGCTATTCAATTGCCTATGGAGAGGAATGTTAAGAATGTGAAAAGCTCCTATTCCTATTGAAACGACTGTGAGATTAAATGTTATTGCCACTCTTAGAAAAATTGTGACAAATCTGATTTCAACTATTCACAGAATTGATCCCTTATTTAGATCCTCTTCCACACAACAACAATAATATTGATCTTCCACTCCCATGACTTGCAACTGTTCTAAAGGCAAAATAACATCCCTTTCTGTTCAAACGTTATTTATATTTATTTTTTTGAATGTTATATAACATAAGCAGTTCAACACGTTTTTATTTGGCCTACAGCCAATGGTATTTTAACCAATCACATGATTATCGATAACTTTAATTTCAATAAAACATTTCAACACTCCCATTAGTGCTTCGTCATCTTCTGCCTGGTAACAGCAATTCCTCCTATTGGTTTAGACTCATTTCGGTCGCCTCCCTAGTCACAGAGAGAGAGAGAGAGCGAGCGAGCGAGCGAGACAGAGAGATGGGGGGGGGGGGGGGCAGGTTTTTGGGGGGGGTCAGGTTTTTAAACTTTTCTATCATAAACTTTTCTATAATTGACCACGTTATTCATCTTGTACAGTACTATGGCCACACACACACAGCACTGTCAAGTGAGGTAGTGCACTTTTGTTGTTCCACTTTAATGACATAAAATTCAACTGAAACCTGAAATCAATATTGTTAATAAGCTACTTTGTCTAAATTAGAGATGTTTATAATGCAATTATTATTAGGTTTTAACGTAAACGACTTTGCACATCATGATTTACTCTTGACTTTGTATAAATTAGAGATGTTTATAATGCAATTATTATTAGGTTAGGCTTTAACGTAAACGACTTTGCACATCATGATTTACTCTTGAAATATTCAATAGCCTGCCTGATTCAATGGCTCTGATAGTTTTAAATGCTTTTTATAGGTTTTGTGATGCATAGGCCTATTGAATATGCCTCCAATCTGAACAACTATATAAATTGCTGTATAATGATTACGTTAAAGTTATTTTAAAAAGACATGTCCTACTGTTAAGTGTCTTTGTGTGGTAGAAGCTTGCCCATGTGCTCACCTCATGTTCGACAGGGTGACGAGAAGAGAAGCCGGGGCTATTCTCAGATGGCTTTTTTCATGAATGTGTCTATACCGCCCCCTATCAAAATCGAACCAATTCACATTAATCTCTGCATTACCAATTTCCCTATACCGACACTAGCCCTACATCCCTCCTCCCTCAAACCCCCACCACTCAGCGTCCCTTCTCCTCACCCCCTCCTGACTCCCCTCGGCTGTATAGGCTACGCCACCCAGAATACTGGGACCTCCCATTTCCATACCTATAGGAGTGGATCAGCAGCGATGGGAAGGACTTGGAACTTTAGAGGGGTAGTTCTTTAGAGTTATCCTCCTCTCGCTATAGACTCCTTAGCTCCGCTCTCTCAGACTCGCTCTTGCTTTGATCTCCTCCTTAACAACAGTTAACGTCATCGCATAGCCCTCTGAAGGGGAGTTTTGTCTAGTAGGGTGAAGCGTTGGAGCTCTCAGAGGGCTTACACTGTAGGAGCAGCAAGCAGCATCTACCGAGGCTCACTCACTCCTAACAAGAAGCACCTCTTTTGATTATTTATTCAGCCCTAAAACGCAAGCTACTACCGCAAAAGACATGGAACACCAGCTGTTGTGCTGTGAAGTGGAAACCATCAGAAGAGCTTACCAAGATGCCAACTTACTAAATGACCGAGTTCTACAGACAATGCTCAAAGCAGAGGAAAATTACCTTCCGTCTCCGAATTACTTCAAGTGCGTCCAGAAAGAAATAATACCTAAAATGAGGAAAATTGTGGCTACATGGATGTTAGAGGTGTGTATATTTATGATGTCTAGATGTATTGCTTAAAAGTTTGTGTCCAAACACTAACCATGCCCTTTGGACGCAATGTATTGAATTGGTCGTTTTATGCATCTTACGTTTTATGAGCATGACCATTCATATTATGTAAACTTACTGACATGTAGTAGGCTAATGTTTCATTTGTGTACGGTTGTCCAAGTAGGCTAAAATAGATTTGGAACACGGTCGTAGCATATTAGGCTATTTCCCATGTATTGTGTGTGTTCAGTAATTACAACACTTGCAATGTAGCTGCTCGATTATTTTATTTGTCGGAGACTTAGGAAATGTATTTAGATTGAAAAAACATTCCAAATTAATACCAATGTACACGTATGCAGTCTTACTCTTGCCAGTAGTATGCGCCATCTTTGTTGTCGTATGCGTAGGTTTTTAATATCATTAAAAATCTTTAATAATGTCAGCAATGACAGTAACTCAATCAGCAAGTCGAAAAGTATATCTTGGGTATGCACTTATAATCCTGTCGCACGGATAGCGAAAAATGATTATATAAAACCATAAAGTTTGTTTCGGTTTACTAATCAGGCTGCTGTTGCTGCAGTTTCTGAAGGTCGCTCTGGAAACATGATCATTTTCACCAAAAATGTAAATAAGAATGCATTTTAAATGGTCGGATATGATACTATATCGATTAATCAACATTTACATGTAGTTAGAGATTGAGTTTTATGTCGACATACATTTTTTATTAATTTCAGAAATTGTGAGTCAGCACAAGATCTTAATGTCGCAGGCTCCACGAGAAAGAGCGGTGTCGTGAAAATTAAATTGTTTTCATATGTTTCCTATATGAAAATTCGACACATCTTGAAACTATCCGATAAGGTATATCATAAGGATCATTTACATGCTAATTTGACAAACCGTGACAATTTTTACATATTTTCTTTTCTTTTTTGAAAAGATGACGAACTAGAAATTTAAGGGGAAAGTTGCATTGACGCCACCTTTGTGTCTTAGTAAGAAGCGACTGAAAACAGCCTAAATTCTCAACTCTTTCAATTTCCGTTTTAATTAGGCCTAAGCAACTGTTTCAGTTTTTCTAAATACATGATTTTATGTTAATTGCATTGGCAGACTATATCCTACTTTGCGCCACCTGAAGCCTACAATTAGGCCATAGCTATTGTTTTAAGGACAGCCTTTAGGAATGGAAGGATAATGCAAAAAATATGTTGTGTTGTCATTACAGTATTTCGTTTTCACTTATGGACGGGCATATTTATTGGTATATACAATCGACCTGAATGCACTTATAGTCCTATATTATAGGCTACTGTAATTTGAGGCTATAGGCTAAATTGCTGTTTTCACTTCTAGGTGTGCGAGGAACAGAAATGCGAGGAGGAGGTTTTTCCCCTGGCAATGAACTACCTGGATAGATTTTTGTCTGTGGAGCCCACAAATAAAACCAGATTACAACTCCTGGGAGCTACTTGTATGTTTTTGGCCTCAAAGATGAAGGAAACGGTCCCGTTAACTGCAGAGAAGTTGTGCATTTACACCGACAACTCCATCCGGCCCATCGATCTATTGGTAAATGAGCAATGTCAATCTTCTAAATAGACACTGTATATGGCTGTAGTTATAATCCATCCAGTTGTGTTCATTTTAAAGACAGTTTGCATCAAAGAAAGAGTTTGGTTTCTTGTACATTTCACATGGTAGCATACAGCGGTTAGGCCAGTGTAGCGCAATTACATGACGAGGGCGACATCTCCCTCTAGTGGAAAGAACGTAAAATGTAGAAGAAATGATGTGAAGCCACTTGTGAAGTTCGATTGTCTCATTGCGCCCGTCTGTCTTTCTTTGTAGCAAATGGAACTACTGACTCTAAACAAGTTGAAATGGGATCTAGCATCAGTAACACCGCACGATTTCATAGACCATTTCCTCTCCAAGCTACCGATCCATCAGAACACGAAGCAGATTCTGCGCAAGCATGCCCAGACATTTGTGGCTCTCTGTGCAACAGGTAGGCCCAGACATGAACCATTGTCTGTTAAGTGTGAGCTTTTTCCTGTCACTGCTCCATAACCACTTTTTCAGGGACCAATGGCTAATATATATGTCAGATGCAAGATTTACATTTTGTCTGCATTTTTTACCACTTTTGAGGATAACTCTTCCTCCTTGAAGGCCCCCAAGTGGCCAATGGTCAATCTAATTGGTTGGGGGTATGGGCTCTGGTGCAGGAATGTTTGAGTGTACAAGGCCTAGCATGTTTTATGGAGGGTGTCTCAGTCACGTTGTAGTGTGGACAAGTAGAGGAGATACTGGAATGGAGTCAGTGATCTCTTTTTCTCCAGATCAGTTTTATGTGATTATGAGTTTGCTTCTCACCACATTGGTTTGTTTGCTTAGTTGTTTCTCCCCAAAGTCAGGGTTTGCTCAATAGAATTTGAATCAGTTGTCACTGGGGGTATGTTTTAGGGCTATTGGAAGAGCAACAGGATATCCATTGTCCCCTACCTCATTCTGCCAGAGCCTAGAATGGCCTTCCTCACATACCCTCCATCTGCTGTGGTCTCTCTCTCTACCCCTATATACAATACTTGATAGCTTTTGTCTGTTTTATTTACCACATTAATCCTATTGAAAGCTCAGGTGTACCATTTAGCCAATGATCTGTTTCAGATGTTTTGCTTTACGACTCAAGTACTTACCATCTCTCTTTCTTTTGTCTTCCCTATAGATGTCAAATTCATCGCCAACCCTCCCTCCATGATCGCAGCGGGCAGCGTGGCAGCAGCGGTACAGGGGCTGTACCTAAAGATCAAAGACGGTGCACTGTCATCCCAGAACCTAACCAACTTCCTGTCCCAAGTCATCAGGAGTGACCCGGTACGTCAAACACCGCTCCCCAGACCTTTACATTGCACCACACACATGCTTGCATTGACTGTTTGTCACAAACCCTTTCGCTACTATTGTCTTTAAGGTATTTTGCATCATTATGCTGACAGTATCTCTCTCTCGTCACAGGACTGCCTGAGGTCGTGTCAGGAACAGATTGAGTCTCTGCTTGAGTCTAGTCTGAGACAGGCACAGCAACATAATGTCTCCACAGAAACAAAAAGGGTAGATGAGGACGTGGACCTGTCCTGCACCCCTACAGATGTGAGGGACATTAACATTTGAGTGTCATCCTCCTCATTTTTTTGGAAATATTTTTGAGGCTCTGGCCTTACCAAGAGGCCATCTGGGAAAAGAGGACATCAGCGCACCCTCAAGTCGTCACCCTCTGAACACCCTCTGGCAAACGCTTTTGTGCCACACCTGTTACGGTGCCCTGGCCTATATGGCCTCCCAGTGACGTGTGGCCGCCCTCAGCCAGGGCTGTCAAGAAAAGACTGAACACCTCACTTTTCTGAGACCACCAGTCATGTTCCCTCTCACTCTCCCATCCTGTCTGGCTCAAGACATCAACAAGGATGATAGCAAAAACGAATTCTTATGAAAGATACACAACTATATGGATGAAATGAAAACATTATAGTTTATGTGCAAGAGTAAGCCACAGAAATATACATTCTTACCACCCAATGTTGTACTAGGATTTTTAAATACCATAGACTGACTCTACATGCTTACTTAAAACATTCAAAATAACATCGAGTAGGTATTTTTAGTCTGTCTTTGTGTCTAGGTTTTTATTTGAAGTATAAATTCATTTATAAAAGAGAAGGGGCATTTTTTTTCTCTATTAGGTAGGCATTTTACTTGCTATCAAAGCTCCCCTGTTTTTTTTGCAGTCTAGGCATCTGTGTATCCCCGCTTGCTTATGCGTTGTCACTTTATTATATTGTCTAGACTTCTAAAGAAATTCTGAGCCCCTAGTTTTGGCCTCTTCTCTTTTTAACTGGGTTGTATAACTCAACAGTATACTTTTAGTATATATTGCTCTGTTTTATTGTTTAGATGATTGTGGATTGCTGGTGCTGAGGTTTGCCAAATAAGTTCATTCATTCTTCAATATAAGGACAATTACTTTATATTCAATTAGGAGTAAATTGAATGAACCAGCATTGTTTGGCTGTTGATTTATGATTTATTTTTTCCTCATTGTACATATTTCAAAAGCTAGCAATGACACGATAAGCTAAAGTCTAGCAATAATTGCAAATCTTTACCATGCAATCCACAGTTATGTTTTTTGTGGTTATATCTTACTTTCTAATACCATTCCATTTTTAAAAGCACTTTTAGTCCGTTTTTTTCTGACTCATAAAAAAAAATCACAGAAAAAATTAGAAAAAATGGAATGGAGTGGAGCAGGTCTCTTTTAACTGTGGTGTTCTGTGTGTTACAATTTTGCGTACAAGTCAACGCAGCCCAGCAGCAATCCCGTGTACCCTTGATGTAGAAGGGTATTATTTTGGAGATTGTTATGCCACAGTTCTTACAGGAGGGGTCTATAGTGAGATGAGGATTGTGTGTGGCATGTTTCAGCATCCTGTATCCCATCGCTTGAACGGCATCCAGAGCATTTGAAACACTAAAGTATCAAACTTGAACGTTAAAACAAAGATTAAGTGTGTTTATTATTGCATATTTTACTCTTGGAGCCAGTGCAGATTAGAAACAGGATGCCAAAGTCTGTCTCTAACATTTTGTACACAACTATTTACCATAGTGCTTAACACATGCCTGCCCTCAAAATCATGTATGACAGTGTTTTCTCAGTACAAAACTGAAAGAAAACACCATAGTTAAAATGCTGTTTAGAATGTGTAATTGAGGGGATAAAAATACAAAAAAAATGTTTTGTTTAGAGATGATTTTGCACAAACCTGAAGACTTAGGCTATGTTTATGTGGCTTGCCTAAGAGAAGTGGATCACTAAGATGGGAAGGGTAACGTTGAAAAGTGGGAGTGGGAAAAAGGGAGGCAAAAAGGGTGACAGCTTGACAGCAACAAGTTTTGTTGAATTGCTGAATTAAGGTGTTTGATTGTACATTGAGAAAAAGAGATGAGAGAACAGGATAATGGGAGAGCACACTCCTCCTTTTGAGCTGCTATGGAGGAATTCCCAGCAAAGTGTAAAACAAAATGAAAAACAACAAGAAAAAAACAATGCTTTTTCTCCTATTGTTTGCTGCTATATATTTTTTTTAATACATATAAATGTCAATATACTGCCATGTAATAGGTTTTTAATTTTCTATGAGAAAATTATGTTGACATCTTTGTTTTTGTAGTTTTATGTCATCAGTTTTTACTTTAATATGATTTCATTGCTATTCCAAAAAGAGGAAAAATTAGACAATAGACATGGTTTTTATCAACAATACCTCATATTACAGTCAAGATTATCTTTAATTTAGTTCTTTTTTTTTAGTTCTTTTTTTATTTTACTTGTTTGTTCAGTGGCTGATAGTCCTGTTTAAACTGCTAATGGTAATGCATTGATCATTATCCAAATGGGTCCTGATGAGAGCAAGTAGAGAGAGCATTGATTGAAACTGGTGCCATAACAGACCGGATTGTATAACTCTTTTGAGTGTTAAGCTGTCTCATTGAAAGTCTTCATCCCCTTTAGGCCCCTGAAGGCCCATCTATTTTATATTTATAAAGCATTTGCTCGAGTTAAAACCCTTAATGAGTTTGAGTTTGTTAAATACCAAGCCATAGAATTATTTTCAAATCATCATGCCGTTATTCCACACAGTTCAGTTCATGCTATTCTAGATATCTTGTCCTCCACCAAGAAGCATAGCATATTTATATTTGTGTCAACTGCACAATAAACGGTAAATAGATTAAATCTTGGAACACTGCAGTTTTTTCTTAACTGATCCGCTACTGGAACATTGAACCAAAAGAATGGGCTACAGATATTATTGGCACACTTCCATCTGACCCAGACATCCTTCAATCAGAGTAATGAGTGTGAGAGCCAACAGTGGTTCACTTAGCCATAGACATGATGCTGCTATATGTTCTGGTTGTAGATGTGAGGTAGGTCTAGTGTTGCCAAGTGTTTGACAAATGATGTTGCTGCAAGCTGCTGAAATTTCTACTCGCTAACAAAGGACCCATGATGGAAATATTGTTTTTCTGTCTAGTGTAAGGAATAATTGTTACCTCAAAAAATGAAAAAAAATACATGTTGATGCCCCTGTGCTCAACTAAAGATGACATTACATATTTTTGTCATATTAATAAAAAGTGTTGTTAGTGAAAATAAAACAGAAGGGGTGGAGATCTTTGTCCAAACTTTTCAACAGAATGTGCTGCAGTGCTCGCCACCAGCTTTTTACCATTGCTTCTATTGTTAATGACGGTCGGGTGGGTCGCCCCTCTTACTGAGCTGTGGGTCAGGATCTGTGTTCATTGCAATGGGTCAAAGGTCATCTGGGGTCCAAGAAAATAAAGCAAAGATTCTGAAATGTCTGCTTTATGATGTCTGTTTTGTGTAACAGTCGCTGGTCTGAAATGCACAGTCTTTTGCAGATCCATTCTAGAAACATGATTTGAATATCAAACTAAACTAGAATTAAAAGTGGATAAAAAACATCCTGTTTTGTCTTTTCTTGATGGGAAAACAAAAAAGAATGTTGATGTCTTTTACAATGTCACATGATACATATTTATTTCTAAAACAAACAGTTATAGTATTCCATACATTCCTCAGTTATGATCAGTAATCATCCATTTTGAATAGGAAGTTATAGATTACTGACACTGACAGAATAGTTTAAAGCAACATTGATATACATGATGATATTGAGGACATTTTCCAAAATCTAAAGTAGAAATGCTTTTGTGGGGCTAATGATTACCCATGCTATTGGTTAAAGCATGAGTGTGTGACAGTACTCATTGATGTATTATGCAAATCATTCCTTTGATCAGGGTTTTCTATAAAGAAAAAGGCGTGAAATTCTAATCCTTTCCCACAGCCCTGCAATCGTGAGCTGGACAAACAGTGGATAAAGGGTTTCAGCACATAAGGCAATGCGGCACCAAATCCCTGCTGGCACACAGACATCTCTCTCTGTCTCTCCCTCTCAACATCATGCCACAATGTATCTTATAGCATTTGTAAACTAAAGGATTAATAAAACTGCAGCCATAATGCTCACTATTTGACAAGCACCAAAACAACTATCATAAGATGTCTAATCTAACCCAGGGTTATAACTGTTTTACTAATGATTTATTAACCCTAGCCTTAACACCAGCCCTAGCTTTAACCTGTTGTTGATTATATCGTAAACCTTTTGCATCCATATCTGACCATTACCATATGCCGGCAAATTCTGATATCTTTATACTAATTGGTCCTTTGACCAATCAGATCAGCTCTTTTGCCAATAATCAGCACTGCATTTTATCACTGGAGACAATTTTCGTACACATCACTGCATTTTGTATAGTTCTGTTGGCTGGGCCCAGTACTGGCTACTTTTTGTATGTAAAGTTGTTCTTCATATACTCCCCCACTACCTCAGTGCACGTATTAACTGGAGATCCAGCTATTTTTAGACCCGCTCTCTGGACTGGTTGGTTCTGGAGGTCCTGCGGGTCTCCACTGACCTGGGGAAAAATGCTTTTGTTTTTATGCCCCCAGCTCATGGAATAGCCTTCAGGCTACCTTGAAATTAGACTTGCTTGTCTCCATTGGACAGTTTAGATCGAGCTTAAGGGAGGTGAAATGTGAAGGTTGTGTTTGTTTTGATTAAGCTTGTTTTATTTATTGTATTGATATTATTTATTGTATGTTTATGTTTTGCATTTGTATTTATTAAGGATCCCCATTAGCTGCTGCCAAGACAGCAGCTACTCTTCCTGGGGTCCAGCAACATTAAGGCAGTTATATACAATTTAAAATATTACATGACATTACATTTTAATAAAACTTTTCACAACATGTTCACAAGGCTCCCTTGCAAATGAGACCCTGGTTTTATTGGTGACCCACCCTGTATAAATATAAGTAATTTACAGATAGCCAGGGGCACACTCCAACACTCGGACATCATTTGTAAGCGAAGCATTTGTGTTTAATGAGTCTGCCAGATCAGAGGCAGCAGGGAAGACCAGGGATGTTCTCTTGATAAGTGCATGAATTGGACCATTTTCCTGTCAAAATGTAATGAGTACTTTTGGGTGTCAGGGAAAATGTATGGAGTAAAAATTACATTATTGTCATTAGGAATGTAGTGAAGCAAAAGTAAAAGTTGGCAAAAATGTAAATAGTAAAGATACCCCCAAAAATGACTTAAGTAGTACTTTTAAGTATTTTTACTTAGGTACTTTACACCACTGTGTAAAAGCAACTGATTGTTGGGTAGGTCACAATAAAATGTCAAAGGCTTTCAGATGGGCCAGAGTAAAGAAAAGATGGGACCCACTGGTCTAAGGCCCTGGGCATTTGTGAAGGAACTCTTGAGTATTTCACATAAACCTGTGGGTGTCTGAGGTTCGCATTAATACGGTGTCCTCAGCCTCTGACATCTTAGCGCTTGCAGTTTCAGAGGAAGGATCAACATTGCTCCCCAAGTGCCATCAAAGGGTACAGGGATGGACTCGTCAGGACATGCTATCTCAGTGTGGTATCCTTTCAACATTTTTACCCATGTCTGTAGCTATGATGCAGTGCAGACCTTCACAACTGAGAATTAGGCATTTCTCACTCATGCCATTGGTAAACAGTTTCTATGCCAGGCAGCCACATAGGAGAATGCTGTGCTGACCTGATCCCTCCTTGCCTTTGAGCAGCTTGTGACAACATCATGGATCAAATCAAATCCTATTTGTCACATGCGCCGAATACAACAGGTGTAGACTGTACAGTGAAATGCTTACTTACAAGCCCTTAACCAACAATGCAGTTTTAAGAAAAATAAGTGTTAAGTAAAAAATTGATAAGTAAAAAAATACAATAATAATAATAATTAAAGAGCAGCAGTAAAATAACAGTAGCGAGGCTATATACAGGGGGTACCGGTACAGAGTCAATGTGCGGGGGCACAGGTTAGTTGATCAAGGTCTTTTAAAAAGTTATCCTGACTTCCACAGTGATACATATCAACATTAAAATATTAAATTGAGTAGCTGATTCTGAATGTTCAAAAAACAAAAGCATGAAAACATATACTGGCATCCTTCAGATCTACAGACATACTGCATAATGGGCTAGCCTATAGCCATCTGCCCCCAGGACTGGAATGGCCTGATGTTAGCATGAAATAGGGGTCCTTGTCTCAGTTGTGTGGCCTGGCACTTATTGTATGTGTTTTGAATGGGAAATTCACATTTATCATGAATCATGCAATGCAGGCAGTTCATCACAGAGATGGGGGGTGGGGGGGGTGCATATGAGGCACCAAAGCAGGGAAAAACTCTATGCCACCATTTAGTTTGGAGATGCTTTTCCTCGAAGTGCCTGGCGGTTTCATTTGTCACGTCTTCTTTTCATGTCACCACTCGCCACCTGGTCCAGAAATTCCAGAACATTCTCTAAACCCTCCAGTGCCCCCATAGCCCTCTCTGCCTCCACCCTTTCCATGGCCCCATCCAGTCTGCTCGCCTAACATGGAGAATCAAAGAAACAGTGCTGCAACAGCTTTCATTCACTGGCTTACCATCGCGCTCTCTCTGTTCTTTTTTTTTTGCATTGGACTCAAACACACACAAGTAACTACGAATCAGGTCTGACTGCACAAAGATAAGCAGTGCACTGGCAGTTCCTTCTTCCCTCCAGCTCATTTGGGCTTTATCTGTCCCCCTCAGAAGGTGCCGCGGGGCAGTGTTCACCTGCTGCTGCACAGTGCACCAACCAGCTGCCACTGGCCCCCACCATCATTATTTCCCTCCCCCACCTCCCCATCCGGTTTTGTCTATCTGAATTTTGATCTGTATATCGAATAGAAAGGGGGGCCTCGAACAAAAACAAGCGCTTCGCAGCCCCTGCCATCGCTGGTGCCTCTTGATGCCATTGTTACAGCCAGAGACCAATCCCACACATGACCCAGGAGAAGGGGCCGAACATTAATCGACTAGTGACCACCCTTGAAATCAGGCTGAAAGGCCCAGTGGTGGAATTTTATGGGGATGGAGTTGGTTAAAAAAAAAAAACAGACAGTGATTGCTTTGTGCCTCTGGCAGGTGAATCAACTCTCCTGTCATCTGTCATACTGTATATAAAGTAGTATCACAAAAAAAAGTGGCTTAGAAACACATACCACCTCAGTTTGTATTGCATAGTAAAGAATTGTGGTTTCGGTCACTTATTTAATATAATTGTGAGTTGAATTAATGCTTGTAAACTTATACACCGTAGCTGATGGAGGAGATCCGTCTCCATTCTACATTATCTCAGCAGGAGGAGCTCCCTAAAACATGGGTGTGATATTTTTCATTGACCACACAGTGGGGATGTTGTAGTAGAGTTGAAGTTTCTGGCTATCCATATGACTTCCAACTACTTGTTGATCATTTCAACCGCTGAAATTATGCATCTCCTTGCGACCATTTCAAAATGTTTTAGCAAGTATGACTACAAAAGGAAACAAATGTATTGGAATATGCTAACATACATACTTCACACAAGTATTTGAAATAAATAGCTTTTTATTATTATTATTACACATCAACCAGTAATTTTAGCAATCTCACAGCACTCATTCTCAACCAGGTCACTCAAAATTGACTTACACTATTAGAAAAAAAAGGTTAATTTGGGTTCTGTATAGAACATTTAGGGATGTTTTATATATATATATATATATATATATATATATATATATATATATATATACAGTGAGGGAAAAAAGTATTTGATCCCCTGCTGATTTTGTACGTTTGCCCACTGACAAAGAAATTATCAGTCTATAATTTTAATGGTAGGTTCATTTGAACAGTGAGAGACAGAATAACAACAAAAAAATCCAGAAAAACGCATGTCAAAAATGTTACAAATTGATTAGCATTTTAATGAGGGAAATAAGTATTTGACCCCCTCTCAATCCGAAAGATTTCTGGCTCCCAGATGTCTTTTATACAGGTAACGAGCTGAGATTAGGAGCACACTCTTAAAGGGAGTGCTCCTAATCTCAGCTTGTTACCTGCATAAAAGACACCTGTCCACAGAAGCAATCAATCAATCAGATTCCAAACTCTCCACCATGGCCAAGACCAAAGAGCTCACCAAGGATGTCAGGGACAAGATTGTAGACCTACACAAGGCTGGAATGGGCTACAAGACCATCGCCAAGCAGCTTGGTGAGAAGGTGACAACAGTTGGTGCGATTATTCGCAAATGGAAGAAACACAAAATAACTGTCAATCTCTCTCGGCCTGGGGCTCCATGCAAGATCTCACCTTGTGGAGTTGCAATGATCATGAGAACAGTGAGGAATCAGCCCAGAACTACACGGGAGGATCTTGTCAACGATCTCAAGGCAGCTGGGACCATTTTCACCAAGAAAACAATTGGTAACACACTACGCCGTGAAGGACTGAAATCCTGCAGCGCCCGCAAGCTTCCCCTGCTCAAGAAAGCACATATACAGGGCCGTCTGAAGTTTGCCAATGAACATCTGAATGATTCAGAGGAGAACTGGGTGAAAGTGTTGTGGTCAGATGAGACCAAAATGGAGCTCTTTGGCATCAACTCAACTCGCCGTGTTTGGAGGAGGAGGAATGCTGCCTATGACCCCAAGAACACCATCCCCACCGTCAAACATGGAGGTGGAAACATTATGCTAAGGGGGTGTTTTTCTGCTAAGGGGACAGGACAACTTCACCGCATCAAAGGGACGATGGACGGGGCCATGTACCGTCAAATCTTGGGTGAGAACCTCCTTCCCTCAGCCAGGGCATTGAAAATGGGTCGTGGATGGGTATTCCAGCATGACAATGACCCAAAACACACGGCCAAGGCAACAAAGGAGTGGCTCAAGAAGAAGCACATTAAGGTCCTGGAGTGGCCTAGCCAGTCTCCAGACCTTAATCCCATAGAAAATCTGTGGAGGGAGCTGAAGGTTCGAGTTGCCAAACATCAGCCTCAAAACCTTAATGACTTGGAGAAGATCTGCAAAAAGGAGTGGAACAAAATCCCTCCTGAGATGTGTGCAAACCTGGTGGCCAACTACAAGAAACGTCTGACCTCTGTGATTGCCAACAAGGGTTTTGCCACCAAGTACTAAGTCATGTTTTGCAGAGGGGTCAAATACTTATTTCCCTCATTAAAATGCAAATCAATTTATAACATTTTTGACATGCGTTTTTCTGGATTTTTGTTGTTGTTATTCTGTCTCTCACTGTTCAAATAAACCTACCATAAAAATTATAGACTAATCATGTCTTTGTCAGTGGGCAAACGTACAAAATCAGCAGGGGATCAAATACTTTTTTCCCTCACTGTATATATGAAGCAAGCAATAGAACCCTTATTGGTTCCATTTGGAACCTTTTTTCCAAAGAGTGTACATCATGATTCCTGTAGATAAAAAAAATAAAAACATTCACTTGTTTTATATAGAATCCTTAGAATGACAAAATAATTGATGCAACTCAGCTCTCTCTTACCACCCAGACAAAGCACTAAACATCCAGGACTATGGTCTATATAATACCAGTTAGGCCTATGTAGCACTTTCAGTTCACTTTTGTGTTCTCAGTGGCACTCCATATTTCTAAAATAGACTGATGCCCCATCAATTGATATCCTAACCTTTGTCATTCGTAAACACCAATTCTTCATAGTACCAATTGATAGCATACTTCATGCTCCACCCGTTAAAAGTCAGTTAACTACACTACAGACCAACTCAGGACCTCCTGTTTACATAAAAGCAGGCCCACCTCCAGGTTCCTCCTCCTCAACTGTTCTCCTATCTTCTCGTCTTCAAAGCCACAATGCTTCACAGGAAAGGTTGCATTCAAGGAACCCCCTTGAGATCCACAAGCTGTTGACTTCAGGGTTGCCAGTTCTCTTCAGAAGGATATCCCTCCAGACCCTCCAGTCTTCACATAATCACTGAAGTCTGTTGGCACATTTAAAAGAGAGCAGACCTAAAGGTGAAAGAGATTAAGGAGAGCCAAAGATCAGTACCTTGTTTTTCAGTAGACATTAGTTTAGACATCAAAATAAGAGCATGAAAAACACTGCTAACCAGTGGTCAGTTTAGGTCATGGATAATCTAAAGGCCATGAACCTTCACATTGAAAAATGGTTGAGTCAACCATTTGTTTGTTTCTAAGAGCTTATTCACACAATTGACTTGTGGTTTGAGTGAGATAGTCCTACCTGTCTAAACTTGGCCCGAACCTTCTCCATGTCCTCCTGGAGATTTTCATAATGAGGTTCTTCATGGGGGAACTTTTGAATCAACCCAAGAAGAGATTCCAAAGCTTTCAGCCTTTTTCTTAAACATAAAATAGACAAACTGAAGATCATTTTATTTGCATGAAAGTCAACAGGAACAAGTGACTAATGAGTTGATAGGTATTTTATTACTGCTGATGAGAGGTCAAACCTGGACTTCACATCTGTGTTGTTTTGAAGAAGGCATTTCCAAGTGATTCCAAATCCATAATAGAAGGAAACCTATAAAATGAGGTGAGTAGTTTAGAAAGTTATCTGTAGTTGGGGAGAAATGAGTTGTAAAAACACAAATCACACTTATTTAACTAAGCTGTTTTCACAAACCAGTAAGCATATACATGTAATGTGCATTTAACAAAATCATATGTATGACTTCAGCTGAGTAGCAATCAGCTGCTGTAACAACACTGGCTTGCCATGTCTGCCCTGGGGTTTTGACTAGCTATTAAAAATAGTTACTAGTCATTATTACTGTTCCAGCTGGATGATAGGCGTTATTACGTAGGTCATGTTAAGCATAGCACAGAGAATTTTAAACCAACCTTTACTTGGCAATGGGATTGTGGACTACAGGAAAAAAAAGAGGACTGAGCACGCCCCCATTCTCATCGACGGGGCTGTAGTGGAACAGGTTGAGAGCTTCAAGTTCCTTGGTGTCCACATCACCAACGAACTATCATGGTCCAAACACACCAAGACAGTCGTGAAGAGGGCACGACAAAGCCTATTCCCCCTCAGGAGACTGAAAAGATTTGGCATGGGTCCTCAGATCCTCAAAAAATTCTAAAGCTGCACCATCGAGAGTATCCTGACTGGTTGCATCACCGCCTGGTATGGCAACTGCTTGGCCTCCGACCGCAAGGCACTACAGAGGGTAGTGCGTACGGCCCAGTACATCACTGGGGCCAAGCTTTCTGCCATCCAGGACCTCTATACCAGGCGGTGTCAGAGGAAGGCCCTCAAAATTGTCAAAGACTCCAGCCACCCTAGTCATAGACTGTTCTCTCTGCTACCGCACGGCAAGCGGTACCGGAGTGCCAAGTCTAGGTCCAAAAGACTTCTCAACAGCTTCTACCCCAAACCATAAGACTCCTGAACAGCTAATCATGGCTACCCTGACTATTTGCACTGCCCCCCCACCCCATCCTTTTTACGCTGCTGCTACTCTGTTAATTATTTATGCATAGTCACTTTAACTCTACCCACATGTACATATTACTTCAACTACCTCAACTAGCCGGTGCCCCCGCACATTGACTCTGCACCGGTACCCCCCTGTATATATAGCCTCCCTACTGTTAATTTATTTTACTTCTGCTCTTTTTTTTCTCAACACTTTTTTTGTTGTTGTTTTATTTTTACTTTTTTTGTTAAAAATAAATGCACTGTTGGTTAAGGGCTGCAAGTAAGCATTTCACTGTGATGTCTGCACCTGTTGTATTGGGCGCATGTGACCAATAAAATTTGATTTGATACTTACTCCATTCCCGACTTGGAAGAACGTTAGCATGGGGAAGCAGTGCCAGCGAAACTAAACCAAATCATGGATTGCTGTCATACCTTGTCCATAGACTGCTTACAGGGTAAAGAAACCAATGTGTAATTTTGTTGACTAGATGGTTTACAGTTTATGTCAGAATTGACTTTTTGTAGCATGTTAGAATTTACGCGGTAGGTTACGATAATTAACGTAGCATGTTAGGATAATTAGGTTAAGGTTAGGCAAATCGTTAGGTTTAGCTCAAATGCAAAAAAATATCAACTTTTGACGTCAATTTAGACATGACCTTGGGTGAGTGATGCTCAACTTGCCTCCATTGAAAGCTTGGCGCCATGTGATGCTCCATGTTTACGACCATCAATCATTCCTTGTCGCGTGCCTTCATCGAACCCCTCGCGGTACCCCTCTCCATGGAACCTGAAATTAATAAAAACTCATACGTTAATCAATGAACATTGTTCCAACTCTAACTAGCTAGCTAACGTTAACTATAAACAGACAGGCGTCATGCTAGTACTGGCTAGCTAGTTAACGTTAGCTAGCTAAATAAACTAGAGCAAGGCAGTGTTTAGCCTACCTGTCGTCAGCCATGAGAATACAGTCAAATAAATCTTCACTTTTGTGGGCCATTTTCAAAGAGTATCGCCTATTAAAATGTTTACTTGGTTAGCTATCTAGCCAACATCTGTCGCTTCCGCAAACATCAGTTTGTGGCTACAGCATTGCTTTGGACAGCCCAACAGTTAGCTCGCGCATCACTGCCATCTACTGTGTTGGAGTTTGTTGGAGCCGAGGTTCCAGTTAAAAGCAGTAAAGAGATGCTAGTGCTGAAAATAAACATTACATTTAGCGCTACATTGTCACATATCGCAATGAACATGACGACTAACACCATGGACAGTGCCACGTAATAACAGCCAATGAAGGTATCTCAATGACTCTATGCTCTAGCAGCAGTGCAAGCAGTGGTGTAAAGTACTTAAGTAAAAATACTTTAAAGTGCTACTTAAGTAGTGTTTTGGGGTATCTGTACTTTACTTTACTATTTATATTTTTGGCAACTTTTACTTCACTATATTGCTAATGAAAATAATGTATTTTTTACTCCATACATTTTCCCTGACACCCAAAAGTACTCGTTTAATTTTGACAGGAAAATGGTCCAATTCACACACATATCAAGAGAACATCCCTGGCCATCCCTGCTGTCTCTGATCTGGCAGACTCATTAAACACAAGTGCTTCGTTTGTAAATTATGTCTGAGTGTTGGAGTGTGCCCCTGGCTATCCGTCAATAAAAAAAGAAAATTGTGCTGTCTGGCTTGCTTAATATAAGGAATTTGAAACGATTTATACTTTTACTTTTGATACTTAAGTACATTTGAGCAATTCCATTTATTTTTTATACTTAAGTATATTTAAAACCAACTACTTTTAGACTTTTACTCAAGTAGTATTTTACTCTGTGACTTTCACTTTTACTTGAGTCATTTTCTATTAAGGTATCTTTACTTTTACTCAAGTATGACAATTGAGTACTTTTTCCACCACGGAGTGCAAGGAAGGTCCGCATTTCCTTTACCCTAAAAAGGCCTACCAGGAGATGAAAGCTGCCGGAAAATACAGAAAACAAACAAATATTTATTTGTATATATGAATGACAAAACATTGATGAAAAAATAACAGGATTCGCTGCATTTCTGTCCATGCATGGGTAGACCTATCAGTTATCATACTGGCCTAGTACTTTCCCTATGGTGGTATATTTGTGTTATATCTTTAGTAGGCTAATAATAATAATAATAATATGCCATTTAGCAGACGCTTTTACTTACAGTCATGTGTGCATACATTTTTTAGGTATGGGGGGTCCCGGGGATCGAACCCACTACCCTGGCGTTACAAGCACCATGCTCTACCAATTGAGCTACAGAGGACCAGAGGGCTACTGCCCCTCCCTACCTTCAGGCTATGCACAAACCCTACACCCCAACCCGAGCACTCTGTTCTGCCACCTCTGGTCTCTAGGCTGTGGCAGGGCTTGCAAATTATTCTGAAGTACAAAGGGAAACCCAGCCACAAGCTCCCAGTGACGCAAGCCTACCAGACGGGCTAAATGTATTTTATGCTCACTTCGAGGCAAGCAACACTGAAGCATGCATGAGAGCACCAGCTGTTCCAGAACTGTGTGATCACGCTGTCCGTTGCCGATGTGAGCAATACCTTTAAACAGGTCAACATTCACAAGGCTGCAGGGCCAAATGGATTACCAGGACGTGTACTCAGAGCATGCGCGGACCAACTGGCAAGTGTCTTCACTGACATTTTTAACCGCTCCCTGACTGAGTCTGTAAAACCTACATGTTTCAAGCAGACCACCATAGTCTCTGTGCCCAAGAACACGAAGGTAACCTGCCTTAATGACTACCGCCCCGTAGCACTCACATCGGTAGCCATGAAGTGCTTTGAAAGGCTGTTCATGGCTCACATTAACACCATCATCCCGGAAACCCTAGACCCACTCCAATTCGCATACCGCCCCAACAGATCCACACATGACGCAATCTCAATTGAACTCCACACTGCCCTTTCCCACCTGGACAAAAGGAACAACTATGTGAGAATGCTGTTCATCGACTACAGCTCAGCGTTCAACACCATAGTGCCCACAAAGCTCATCACTAAGCTAAGGACCCTGGGACTAAACACCTCCCTCTGCAACTCGATCCTGGACTTCCAGGTGGTAAGGGTAGACAACAACATCTGCCATGCTGATCCTCAACATAGGGGCCCCTCAGGGGTGCATGCTTAGTCCCCTCCTGTACTCTCTGTTCACCCACGACAGCGTGGCCAAGCACGACTCCAACACCATCATTAAGTTTCTGACGACACAACGGTGGTAGGCCTTATCACTGACAATTATGAGACAGCCTATAGGGAGGAGGTCAGAGACCTGGCAGTGTGGTGCCAGGACAACAACCTCTCCCTCAACGTGAGCAAGACAAAGGAGCTGATCGTGGACTACAGGAAAAGGAGGGCCGAACACGCTCCCATTCACATCGACGGGGCTGTAGTGGAGCGGGTCGAGAGCTTCAAGTTCCTTGGTGTCCACATCACCAACAAACTATCGTGGTCCATTCCACCTCAGGAGACTGAAAGGATTTGGCATGGGTCCCCAGATCCTCAAAAAGTTATACAGCTGCACCATCGAGAGCATCCTGACCGGTTGCATCACCGCCTGTTATGGCAACTGCTCGGCATCCGACCGTAAGGCGCTACAGAGGGCTGTGCATATGGCCCAGTACATCACTGGGGCCAAGCTTCCTGCTATCCAGGACCTCGATACTAGGCGGTGTCAGAGGAAGGTCCAAAAATGGTCAAAGACTCCAGTCACCCAAGTCATAGACTGTTCTCTCTGCTACCGCACGGCAAGTGGTACCGGAGCACCAAGTCTAGGTCCAAAAGGCTCCTTAACAGCTTCTACCCCCAAGCCATAAGACTGCTGAACATTTCATCAAATGGCCACCCGGACTATTTACATTGACCCCCCCCCCCCCCTTCCCTTCCCATCTTCCGAAAGCACCTGAAACCCTACTTCTTCAAAGAGTATCTTAAATAATTTGCTGATAGCTACTTTACTGAGGAAAAGTGTACTTACTATGTCTGTGATACAGTGGGGGAAAAAAGTATTTAGTCAGCCACCAATTGTGCAAGTTCTCCCACTTAAAAAGATGAGAGAGGCCTGTCATTTTCATCATAGGTACACGTCAACTATGACAGACAAAATGAGATTTTTTTTTCCAGAAAATCACATTGTAGGATTTTTAATGAATTTATTAGCAAATTATGGTGGAAAATAAGTATTTGGTCAATAACAAAAGTTTCTCAATACTTTGTTATATACCCTTTGTTGGCAATGACACAGGTCAAACGTTTTCTGTAAGTCTTCACAAGATTTTCACACACTGTTGCTGGTATTTTGGCCCATTCCTCCATGCAGATCTCCTCTAGAGCAGTGATGTTTTGGGGCTGTCGCTGGGCAACACGGACTTTCAACTCCCTCCAAAGATCTTCTATGGGCTTGAGATCTGGAGACTGGCTAGGCCACTCCAGGACCTTGAAATGCTTCTTACGAAGCCACTCCTTCGTTGCCCGGGCGGAGTGTTTGGGATCATTCTCATGCTGAAAGACCCAGCCATGTTTCATCTTCAATGCCCTTGCTGATGGAAGGAGGTTTTCACTCAAAATCTCACGATACATGGCCCCATTCATTCTTTCCTTTACACGGATCAGTCGTCCTGGTCCCTTTGCAGAAAAACAGCCCCAAAGCATGATGTTTCCACCCCCATGCTTCACAGTAGGTATGGTGTTCTTTAGATGCAACTCAGCATTCTTTGTCCTCCAAACACGACGAGTTGAGTTTTTACCAAAAAGTTATATTTTGGTTTCATCTGACCATATGACATTCTCCCAATCCTCTTCTGGATCATCCAAATGCACTCTAGCAAACTTCAGATGGGCCTGGATATGTACTGGCTTAAGCAGGGGGACACGTCTGGCACTGCAGATTTTGAGTCCCTGGCGGCGTAGTGTGTTACTGATGGTAGGCTTTGTTACTTTGGTCCCAGCTCTCTGCAGGTCATTCACTAGGTCCCCCCGTGTGGTTCTGGGATTTTTGCTCACCGTTCTTGTGATCATTTTGACCCCACAGGGTGAGATCTTGCGTGGAGCCCCAGATCGAGGGAGATTATCAGTGGTCTTGTATGTCTTCCATTTCCTAATAATTGCTCCCACAATTGATTTCTTCAAACCAAGCTGCTTACCTATTGCAGATTCAGTCTTCCCAGCCTGGTGCAGGTCTACAATTTTGTTTCTGGTGTCCTTTGACAGCTCTTTGGTCTTGGCCATAGTGGAGTTTGGAGTGTGACTGTTTGAGGTTGTGGACAGGTGTCTTTTATTCTGATAACAAGTTCAAACAGGTGCCATTAATACAGGTAACGAGTGGAGGACAGAGGAGCCTCTTAAAGAAGAAGTTACAGGTCTGCGAGAGCCAGAAATCTTGCTTGTTTGTAGGTGACCAAATACTTATTTTCCACCATAATTTGCAAATAAATTCATAAAAAATCCTACAATGTGATTTTCTGGATTTTTATTTCCTCAATTTGTCTGTCATAGTTGACGTGTACCTATGATGAAAATTACAGGCCTCTCTCATCTTTTTAAGTGGGAGAACTTGCACAATTGGTGGCTGACTAAATACTTTTTTCCCCCACTGTATGTGGTTGTCCCACCTAGCTATCTTAAGATGAATGCACTAACTGTAAGTCGCTCTGGATAAGAGCGTCTGCTAAATGACTAAAATGTAAAATGTACAAACAACCCCCTGTGACAAGTCATATTTGAAATAATCATAATAAAATACTATCACAGATTACATCTCTGATACTGTTGTATGAATGATAGGCGTTCAAGTGTACAATAAGCCCATACACTGAATCATCAAAGCTACTCTGGACAAACTCAAGAGTGTGCAAGAGGAATGAATGATAATGATGTTTTTTAGAGTTCCAAAACTGATAAAGAATTGTGTGACTTCGAAAACATTCAGTGTGCTACAATTTACTACATTGTGTCCCAATAATAAACACCTTTTTTGCACACAGCTTGTGGCATGTGGTAATCTTGTTGAACGAAAAATAGCTGTGAGAAACGAATCATCAATATGGCTTTCTAGAGCTGATGACTGATGGAATGATCAAAATGCATTCCAATAACATTATGACATATTATTTCACATGTATGTCTTTGGTCAATTTGAAAATGTAACTGCAAACACATACGAGTTCAAATTAAGGCTTAAGCTAAATGCATTATATATATATATATATATATATATATACAGTGGGGAGAACAAGTATTTGATACACTGCCGATTTTGCAGGTTTTCCTACTTACAAAGCATGTAGAGGTCTGTAATTTTTATCATAGGTACACTTCAACTGTGAGAGACAGAACCTAAAACTAAAATCCAGAAAATCACATTGTATGATTTTTAAGTAATTAATTTGCATTTTATTGCATGACATAAGTATTTGATACATCAGAAAAGCAGAACTTAATATTTGGTACAAAAACCTTTGTTTGCAATTACAGAGATCATACGTTTCCTGTAGGTCTTGACCAGGTTTGCACACACTGCAGCAGGGATTTTGGCCCACTCCTCCATACAGACCTTCTCCAGATCCTTCAGGTTTCGGGGCTGTCGCTGGGCAATACAGACTTTCAGCTCCCTCCAAAGATTTTCTATTGGGTTCAGGTCTGGAGACTGGCTAGGCCACTCCAGGACCTTGTGATGCTTCTTACGGAACCACTCCTTAGTTTCTCTGGCTGTGTGTTTTGGGTCGTTGTCATGCTGGAAGACCCAACCACGACCCATCTTCAATGCTCTTACTGAGGGAAGGAGGTTGTTGGCCAAGATCTCGCGATACATGGCCCCATCCATCCTCCCCTCAATACGGTGCAGTCGTCCTGACCCCTTTGCAGAAAAGCATCCCCAAAGAATGATGTTTCCACCTCCATGCTTCACGGTTGGGATGGTGTTCTTGGGGTTGTACTCATCCATCTTCTTCCTCCAAACACGGCGAGTGGAGTTTAGACCAAAAAGCTCTATTTTTGTCTCATCAGACCACATGACCTTCTCCCATTCCTCCTCTGGATCATCCAGATGGTCATTGGCAAACTTCAGACGGGCCTGGACATGCGCTGGCTTGAGCAGGGGGACCTTGCGTGCGTTGCAGGATTTTAATCCATGACGGCGTAGTGTGTTACTATTGGTTTTCTTTGAAACTGTGGTCCCAGCTCTCTTCAGGTCATTGACCAGGTCCTGTCTTGTAGTTCTGGGCTGATCCCTCACCTTCCTCATGATCATTGATGCCCCACGAGGTGAGATCTTGAATGGAGCCCCAGACAGAGGGTGATTGACCGTCATCTTGAATTTCTTCCATTTTCTAATAATTGCGCCAACAGTTGTTGCCTTCTCACCAAGCTTCTTGCCTATTGTCCTGTAGCCCATCCCAGCCTTGTGCAGGTCTACAATTGTATCCCTGATGTCCTTGCACAGCTCTCTGGTCTTGGCCATTGTGGAGAGGTTGGAGTCTGTTTGATTGAGTGTGTGGACAGGTGTCTTTTATACAGGTAACGAGTTCAAACAGGTGCAGTTAATACAGGTAATGAGTGGAGAACAGGAGGGCTTCTTAAAGAAAAACGAACAGGTCTGTGAGAGCCGGAAATGTTACTGGTTGGTAGGTGATCAAATACTTATGTCATGCAATAGAATGCAAATTAATTACTTAAAAATCATACAATGTGATTTTCTGGATTTTTGTTTTAGATTCCGTCTCTCGTGGTTGAAGTGTACCTATGATAAAAATTACAGACCTCTACATGCTTTGTAAGTAGGAAAACCTGCAAAATCGGCAGTGTATCAAATACTTGTTCTCCCCACTGTATATACAGTGGGGGAAAAAAAGTATTTAGTCAGCCACCAAATGTGCAAGTTCTCCCACTTAAAAAGATGAGAGAGGCCTGTAATTTTCATCATATGTACACGTCAACTATGACAGACAAAATTAGAAAAGAAAATCCAGAAAATCACATTGTAGGATTTTTAATGAATTTATTTGCAAATTATGGTGGAAAATAAGTATTTGGTCAATAACAAAAGTTTCTCAATACTTTGTTATATACCCTTTGTTGGCAATGACACAGGTCAAACGTTTTCTGTAAGTCTTCACAAGGTTTTCACACACTGTTGCTGGTATTTTGGCCCATTCCTCCATGCAGATCTCCTCTAGAGCAGTGATGTTTTGGGGTAGTCGCTGGTTAACATGGACTTTCAACTCCCTCCAAAGATTTTCTATGGGCTTGAGATCTGGAGACTGGCTAGGCCACTCCAGGACCTTGAAATGCTTCTTACGAAGCCACTCCTTCATTGCCCGGGCGGTGTGTTTGGGATCATTGTCATGCTGAAAGACCCAGCCACGTTTCATCTTCAATGCCCTTGCTGATGGAAGGAGGTTTTCACTCAAAATCTCACGATACATGGCCCCATTCATTCTTTCCTTTACACGGATCAGTCGTCCTGGTCCCTTTGCAGAAAAACAGCCCCAAAGCATGATGTTTCCACCCCCATGCTTCACAGTAGGTATGGTGTTCTTTGGATGCAACTCAGCATTCTTTGTCCTCCAAACACGACGAGTTGAGTTTTTACCAAAAAGTTATATTTTGGTTTCATCTGACCATATGACATTCTCCCAATCCTCTTCTGGATCATCCAAATGCACTCTAGCAAACTTCAGACGGACCTGGACATGTACTGGCTTAAGCAGGGGGACACGTCTCGCACTGCAGGATTTGAGTCCCTGGCGGCGTAGTGTGTTACTGATGGTAGGCTTTGTTACTTTGGTCCCAGCTCTCTGCAGGTCATTCACTAGGTCCCCCCGTGTGGTTCTGGGATTTTTGCTCACTGTTCTTGTGATCATTTTGACCCCACGGGGTGAGATCTTGCGTGGAGCCCCATCGAGGGAGATTATCAGTGGTCTTGTATGTCTTCCATTTCCTAATAATTGCTCCCACAGTTGATTTCTTCAAACCAAGCTGCTTACCTATTGCATATTCAGTCTTCCCAGCCTGGTGCAGGTCTACAATTTTGTTTCTGGTGTCCTTTGACAGCTCTTTGGTCTTGGCCATAGTGGAGTTTGGAGTGTGACTGTTTGAGATTGTGGACAGGTGTCTTTTATACTGATAACAAGTTCAAACAGGTGCCATTAATTCAGGTAACGAGTGGAGGACAGAGGAGCCTCTTAAAGAAGAAGTTACAGGTCTGTGAGAGCCAGAAATCTTGCTTGTTTGTAGGTGACCAAATACTTATTTTCCACCATAATTTGCAAATAAATTCATTAAAAATCCTACAATGTGATTTTCTGGATTTTCTTTTCTCAATTTGTCTGTCATAGTTGAAGTGTACCTATGATGAAAATGACAGGCCTCTCTCATCTTTTTAAGTGGGAGAACTTGCACAATTGGTGGCTGACTAAATACTTTTTTCCCCCACTGTATATATATATATATATATATATATATATATATATATATATATATATATATATATATAAAAAAGCTGTACAAATATATAAGTATTTACAAATATCTACAAAAATGTAGACAAAAAAGTGCATACAAATTCCCATATTTGTTTTTCAAAATACATGGATCAAGTATTTTCATTACATAATATGGCTAAAAAGTAAATAAAATTAAATAAAGAAAAAAAGAAGAAAAAAAATTAGAAATAAATACTACAAATGATTTCAATCCAGTTCTTCTTGGGCCTGTATGTTTGGAGTGGTGTATAATGTCATGTGCAAATTATGAGTTTGGAGACACCTTGTAGATATAGAAGCTTCTTAGTGTAGGTTATATGTTAGCACCATCAGTCGCTCATCTCTTATTGAAACTGGGGCTTTGGATCGAGATCTGTGAAAGTTTCCCAAAGGCATCCATAGTGTCTATGTCCAGGCCTGACTGAGGGCCTTGCTCAGGGTGGGCTGACAAGCCCAAATCTGTTGTTATATCCAGGGGCAGGGTGCTCACCCTTGGCAGAAACTGGGACAGTGCAGGAATGCCTCTGTCTCGCCCTTGGAGCCTCTGCCTGCTGCCACCCAGGCTCACCAGGGTCCCATGCTTGTCGGAGACATAAATATTGTAGCCGTCTGGGAGGATGTTTTCCTTGAAGGAGCAGTCATCTTTCATATAGGTTTGCTATGGGAAGAGGAGGGAGAAAATAACATCTAGTGTATATGGAGTGACACACACAGGCTATTTGTCAGACCCTCTTCATCCTGACTGACTCCTGCCAGGAGTTATTCGAGAGCTATTTGCATAGCGTATACAGAGTCACTAGAGGCCAAGGTTGTTTTTCCAGTTCCTTTCCAAAAAGGTTTTAACTTTTAAATATATACCCTACCAGTGGACAAAGGTTGCTGCAGTGACATATGACCCATAATAAACCATATAATTCTCAGTATTTGCCATATGTATTTTAAATCTGGTATGCAAATGTTAATGTAACATTTCATGCAAGGAAAGGTATTAAATATTTGACTATCATGAGCTATAATCTTTTTGTTGCCTATATTTTACTATATGCATTTATATCAAAACCTTAAGATTATAGACATCTGATGAAGGATGATTTTTTAGATCATTTTTAGATAATTGGATAAACTGTCACAAACACTTTCTCAAAATGAGTATGTTAATTTTTTTAAGTTAATTTTATATAAATGTCGATTTATTAATGCTCCTCCAAACTATGAATTGCTGTTATTCACAAGTCGGTGCTGCATCTGAAATTGTGAAGTTTTAGTCATTCCAATCATTGTGAACGTTAATTTTACAGTCAAATATCAAATGTGAGTGCTCTTACGGATGCGTACAGTCTTCCATTCCCTTCCATGCAGAGATACTGCGAAGCTGCTACTCCTTTGATTGCGACACAGCCTGTGTCTACAGGTCGGATTTCCACCAAACCTGTATAAACACAACGGGTCATTCAGTTTACTTAATTTTTATTGTTATATATTTATATTTCCAAATAATAATAAAACAGTGACAGCAATACATAAAGACATACCAATAGACAACCACAACACATGATAATACAAATAAAATAAAAAGACAAAGACAAAACATATAAAACAGACAGAAATATAAGTTTATATTGTACTTAATCAGAATAATATCTCAAATTTGGGATGAAATGGGAAAAGTTCAGTATTTGGTCATGAGCTGACCCTTATTTTGGATGTTATGAAGGAGAAGGCAGAGGGCTAGGTGGATCTTGTTGTGGCTTTAGCTCTGTGGATTCTAGCGGTGGATCTCTCCAGGGTTAAGATGACAATTATAGATCCACAGATTGTTCAAGTGAGCTTCCTGATCAAACCATGCTTTCAAAGTGGCATTTTTTGCTGCAGTAAGTGTAGTTATAAGTGGATATTACTTTTTGGAGTTTAGACAGGTTTACACACTTTCTAAATGTATTGTATTGACTATTAGGCATATCTCTGATGTATGTAAGTATTATGTACAACCTAATAGAGTTACCATTTTATAATCCACAAATTTCAAATTCATAATCACACGTTTTCAAATGACTTTTTCAAAGGATGCCAATACAATGCTCAACCAAAAGTAACCACCTCTTTCATCAGAACAACCCATCCAGAATATTAATTTTGGTTATGTAGTCTCCAATCAATATTGTGAATGACCTTGCCAGTGATATTGAAAGATGGCAAAGCAAAGGCAAAGTTAATAGGGCCCCTATGTCTCAACAAAATAAAACTGTTTAATTGCTGCTCTATGTATAGTGGTAGCCTACTTACTGTAAGAACTCTGCTCAGGAGATCCGTGCACCTTGCCATTCTCGTTGATTAGCAAGTGCAAACCGTGTTTGGCCGCATACAGATGTCTGAGCCGGACCGTCTGTCCCCATCCGTTGGCTATATGAGGCCCGGAGTCTGGCAGTGGCAGACAAACTCCAACTGCAAAAAATATGTTGACCATGCATACTGCAGTAACTGCAAGTGTCCTTTTGCTCATGACTATGTCAAATTTTCTTTCCTGATGCTGTTCTCTGTCTATTATCCCAGACCCTCTGCCTTCTTTCTATCTGTCGCTATTTTCTAGTAAGACAATGTCCCAGCCTTTTTAAATGTGCTGCTTATCAGTCCGATCGATAACCCTTTTCCCAAAGCCAATTCTTGGAACAACGTAACACACCCTCTCGACATGCAACAAAATCATAGGTGACTGGTGGCACATGCCACGACCAAGGATTTATAAGAGAAGTTAGGCCTTTAGTTATCAAAGTCAAAACATTGATGATCATAATGTATTATAATTAATTGATTATAATGATATGTTTAGTTTAAATATGTATACTCCATTTGATTTATAGCCCTATGTGATTTATAAGGTCTTGAGAAGTTGAAGTGAATTATAGGCTACTGGATTAAAGTTTAGCCATCCACTCGTCATTATAATATAACAACAACCTTTTTAATTTTGCCATTGCTCAATCAGGGGGAGCATTTAGTTATTTCACTAAATGCCAGGTGTACACTGCAAGTCATGTGTAATTCAAACCAGCTCTGGCACAGGAGCATATATGTCCTTGTTGGACTTGGTCAACAAGCACAAATAACAGATTTACCCCTCTGTTATCTAATTTTGACCGAGGGTTTCCGATGCTTAGTGCGCAAGCGTTGTCAATTGACAAACTCCTCCGTGGACCGTGAAATGTAGGCTACATAAAAGTTAAACAGTAATTTAGAGCAAATATCCCCATTCATGAAAATGCAGCGGAGGACCTACATTCCAAAGCGCAATATATCAGATCAGGTAGTATTAAACTATGTGGACCGTCCATCGGTGGGTAGCTTATTCCAGTAGGACAATATTTGTCAAAATACATGTTTAGAATTTTTTATCAAACTGATGTATTTAACTTTATTCATAACATTATGATTTGACCGATTTGACCGACTAAACGGGAGACTATTTGAAGATTACTGACTAACCCATGACTAACCACTACAGACCGTGCTCTGCCTAAAATAAATAGCCTACTTATTCTGTAAACCAGATTTATTTTCACTCAGTGGTCCATGTCATTATACTCACTAGGTGGCGCACAATACCACATTATCAATTTTACATTCTAAAGTGCCTTCGTGAGCGTTGTGGGCTCCATGTAGTCTTAACTTGACACATGCAATTGGTTGGTGAAGTTCGCGCCAACGACATCTTCAAAGGTTACACGTATGCTGGATAGGATAGGCCTACTTTTGCGCACTTTTACACCTTGAATTGGGTGCACTGCGCAGGTGCCCTCCTTATTTGCACGGAGGCTAGCTGTCTGTTCAGGGTGATAGAGGGTGATGGTGAGTAGGGGAACCTAGGCTGGTTAACGACATTAGATGGTAGCCTTAACACTTTATAGCTACATTTAATTGTAGGCATACCGAAAAGGAAAAGTCATATTGCCATGCTGTTGTTGTGTCTTTTACTTTTGATCAGTATGCCTTGTCAGTCAGTATCATTCCCATAGTCTCACACAGGCTTCTGCCCTCTGATGATCGAATGGCGACAAAAATGTTGTGTTTACTGGGTGGTAGGCCTCGTGGAATGTTTGCTCCAAACCTCTTAGTAAGAGTTAGTTGGCGTGCCTCGACCAATTGCCTCCTCAACAACAGTGAATTGAAGGCCTGCACTGCAATCCTGTGCTGTGACCTGATGGTGACATTTGAGAGAATGCCTTCATGGTTTGGATGAGTGAATAATGTTCATTGCACTGCTTGAGTCACGGTTAAACTAGGCTCTCTTGCCAGGCCGAACTGTCTGGTGAAAGACTTTAGAAAAATGATGTCATGCTGAAATGAATGCATGGCTTCTGTGTGATGTGCAGTGCAGAGGATGTAACATGCATAGGCCTACTGATGTACAGTACTATTGACCTATGTGGTCATCCTGATTCCCCATCAAATGAGAGTTGATTGCTCTGCTAATGCACTCACTGGCAGGCAACTCCTATCCGTTAATATACATATATTGTAGTTTTATTGTAACGTAGGATAACATAGTGTAAGGTAGTGTTGATCACCTGTTGGCCAAGATTTATTGAGGCCACTCCTCTTGGGGCTCATTCAAATAGACCTTACAATATAAATATTCAGAGAGAAAAGAGTAGAGCATATAATGGATACCATCGTCCCCCCCATAAACTGCAGATGGATTTTGTGCATAGAATGCACAGCTTTTGTAGTGCATTGGGAAAACTGCTAAACAAGTTGACACACACACCAAGTGATGTCATAGGCTGCATAATACTCATGTGTTACTCAAAGTCAAGTTCTAGTTCCCAAGACGTAGGCTTAACCATTTTCTAAAGCTCCAGGGAAATGTGTTTGTGCATGAACTAAGGCAAGTGGCCCATGGCCTCCACTGTTTCTGCTGAAATGGTGACCATCGGCCCCTTGATTACAGGGCAATGGTCCATGTCATTTCCTAAATGCCCCAGTACAGAAAGCATTACACAGCATGGAAGTGAAAGAGGGGGAGTTTTTTCAGCACCTTTTGAAGTACCTTGTCTTTATAGGTAAACATCAGGAGGATCTCAAACAGACACCTCACAGCTGGCCCTACAAAGAGAGTATGGGGTACAAACACCCTCTTTAAGTACCCCTTTACTCCCTCAGGCCCAGACCCCCAGGCATCACACCACCCATAATGTTTGCACCGCGGCGACTAGCACGAGATATGTCTCAAACGTTTTTCGTTCTCATGCTAGGCTAGCAAATGCTAAAGCTAGGATAGCATGAGGACGAAAAAGACAGTTTAATAAAAAACGAGCAGTATTTTAATCTTCTCGATTTGTCATTTTGGATAATGGGATAATTAGGAGTACAGCAACATCTTCCATCCCTGGATTGAGGTATGTTTTCGAGCCATATCCCACGCTCATCACCGCGGTGCAAACATAATGGGTGGAGTGCATTTCGACTTAAAGGTACTGACCCTCAAGTCGAGTTTTGGCTAATTCAATCCATAGTGTGATTTAGCCATTTAGAACAAAAATATACTTATTTCCATCACTCAGTCAGTGTCGTAGTACATTTCAAGTGAGACACCATCAAGGTTTTAATAACTGTGTTACACTGAAACATTAAGTTATATAATAATACGTCTCTGAAATGTGCAGCAGGGTGACGCCCTGGCTCTGATGCCCTCCCACGTGCCAAGTTCTGCAACCCCACTCGGTCTGCCAAAGATGCCGCCTATTATCATGGCTGAATAAAGCTAAACCAAGGGTAACACTGAGGAGCCAGTCACCTGATACTACACCAGGTGTTTATTAGCACAAACGGTTGTTTGCCTGTGGTTTAGGCCAGGTGTGGCTATTTGAATGTCCTTGCGTCTGGCTGATGTGCTTCAGTGCCTCACTGTTTTGGTTTGCTCTGTCTGAGCCCATTAACAGTGTCATAGTGTCATAGATCAAAACTCCACTTATTGAAGTCTTGAGAGAAGTTAGTAAATCTGAAGCATCTATATTGTGGTTGAATAGCAGGGAATAATGCAACCTTAGTAAAAGAAAACAACCACCAGAAACATTCCCATTATATCCTCTCTGTTCTGTGCTTATGAGGGATAGCCCCACACAATCTCCTTTTGTTTTGACAGTAGGGAACAACTGAGCCCTGTCCCGCTTCATCCATCTCCTCTCATTGCCCCTTTTCCCCAGAGATGATCCAGTCTCACTAGCGTTAAAGACTCAGGCTTCGCTTGTGTTTGCCTGCAGGATAAAGCAGCAAAACCCTATAAGCTGGGGCTTAGAAGGTGCGATACCCATGGAATCCAGGGACTCTGTGAGGGGGCCTAGATAACTAAGTGCTCAAGGTGCCCCTGCCAGTCAGCAACACGCCTGGCCTCATCCCAATGCAGCATGATGTTTTAATCATTCTTTACAACTGGGATCTACACAGATGGCTTTGGACACTGTTGTTGATCTTGGAGTTAAAAATACTGATTGGTGTGTATAATGTATATGTTGGGGGTGCATGCGTGCAGGTGTCAGTCTTAAATAGCTTTTGGCAGTGAAAAACATAATTTGTGGAGATTGTTTATGCCGTTCACAATTCTGCATATTCACTTTTATTTTCCATTTTTTTGCTGTTTATTTAACAGACTTTGATACTCTACCTCACATCACATGCCTTGTGTCAGTTCCCCAGTGCTGAACCCCTAGTATTAATTGAAATCTGTTGTGGCAGAGGGACAAATTCACATTGGAAATGTAGAATGGCTGCCTTCATCCTACCTCAATGGAATCCTCCAACACCTTGCTGCCAGTTTACATAGTACCATCGAACAACCATTCAATTACCCATCTCTGTTAGCGAACACATCGTTGCAAGTTCCCCTGACTGTCTCTGTGAAGTCTTTGTGTTTTACAGAACTTGAAAGGCACATCTGAAATAGAAAGATATGTTGGCCCTGGGTGGATGGATGTTTATTTGGTTGACAGACAATAGAGTCAAGGCAGATAGATAGAGTGTAGCCACTATTTTTAGGGATTGTTTACAATCCTTAAACATTGCAACTTCAGTTTACTGGAGCAGAAAGCTGTAATTCTTTCAGGCAAAGACAAGGCTCCATTTAGCTCGAGCTATCCAGTGGACAGAAATACATGTGTATTGAGTGGCCACACCTGTCTCACTCTTCCAAGGCTATTTTTCTTTAAGAGGCATTTATCAAAATGGACAGTTCAACAAAGAAATAACTTGGAATTTACATAACTTGCTTTCCTCTCCTCAGTTTGACAAATATATTTCTGGTTTCTCCATTGAATAATGTGTATTGTAGTACGATAGATACAATATAATTTGATGTAACATTAGTTTGAAAAGTTAGAGAGCCATTGGAATTCTGAAACCCTATGTTATCACACTTCTTTCCAAACCTTTCAGTCAATTATTGTACAATTGATGTTGTCAGAAACAAGTATTAGTCTTGGTAGACCTGTACTAACAAGGGTTCAGACATGAAAGAGTCATTTTTTACAACATTGGGAGTTTTATTAACTTCAAATTTAAGTTAGGCATTAGTCATGTGCACAGCACATACATCAAGATATTTAACAAGACCTGTATAAAACTACAGATAATATCTAGTAAATATAAAAAAGACAATGGAAACAAGAGTAACAAGACCACAGGACTCAAAGACACGTGTTACTTGAGACCCAAGAGCCCTCCCCTGGAAGCAAAACAGCACAGCAATGGAAGAAATAAGCACCCATAGGAGACAATAGATCATGAACATTTCAACATTTAACACTGAAACATGCTCATTATTCTGCATTTTAAGTTCTTGTCTCTGTACCATCTCATCAGAAAGATTCAGGGATAGATGAAATGTCTGAACAATTGTTCAAACTAATGTCTTGTCTATAAGGTGCACATTTCAGAACATTGTGTTGTGTTGCTTGTACACTTGCTGTATAAGCAAATGAGGTGCCTCTACTGAGGATGGAACCGGGTTCACAGAATATTTGCCAGTGGCTTCTCAGTCTTTTGTAAACATTATGGTGAGCCATGCAAAACAGTCTATTGGGGAACATTTGGCACAGCTGTGGCAAAGGAAAATAATTATGGGATTGGCAGTGCAGCCTGATGTCTTGGGTGACTAAATAATATTACCAACAGGTGTTTGAGCATCCAGGTCATATGTGACAATATTAAGTCATGTACAGCATTGGATAGCTCTCTGACTCTTCAGTCTCAGGAGCTGGATGGTATGCAAGAGCATCATAGTCTTGACTCATTTTGGCTGCCATGTGCTCCAGTCTTTTTGAAGGGGAAGATTGCATCCAGGATAGGATTGTTTTATGGGAGACAGAGACTTCCACAGCAGGTGTTTAAACATGGACACAGAGAGTTCACCAACAACACCCTGAGATATTTGCTGTAGCTCCAGCCATTCTATTTTTTACAACCAAATTATGTGTTTTCCATTGACTGAATTTAGCAAAGCTATTTGCTGTTTCAAAGTTACGCCTCATTAGATTTCTTAGGATTTGGACACTATTGTTACTATTGTTATATTGAATATAGAACAATGGGCCATCGCTTCCAGTTTGAGTTGTCTAAAATCAGTACTGTACATTGTAAACTACCATGGTATGTGGAATGTTGAACCTGAGATGGAACCTTCTCAGAGGAGAATGAACACCATCGTACAATCTAGAACTATTCTAATAGTCCCAGTCGGTATTTGATAGAACGTTGCGGCCCTGCCCGCTTGTGGGGAAAACAACTGGTGGGTACATAGGTTACCCTATTGGCTCAGAGTAAAAACTTTACCTTTTTCAAACGCACTTTTTTGTTGTCTGCTTGTCTTAGTCAATTCCAAAACTACATTTAAGAAAAGTAAAACATGCCTAAAGATTAATTTTCAACATTGCCAGCTTCCTAGCATTCTCAATACTTAGAAAAAACGTAATATTGTAGGTCTTCCCTTATGCCCCTTTTCATGGCTGTGCTAGCAGCCGAGTGAGTGAGTGAGTGCTAGCTAGCGAACGTTAGCCAAGACCAACAACAAACAAACAGACTGTACACTACAAGTAATGAGTGGAGTTACAAATGGACTATACTATACAAGTTAAATGTCTTACCTGTGATTAAATGTTTTCCACACACATAGCTACGTGTAGCCTACTTGGACACCGGCTCCCCACATTTCCCACTCTCCCACGCCAAATAGCCTGAAGCCACAGCACAGCGCTCTTCTTGCAGGCTCTATTTCCCTACGTGGGAGCATTGCGAACCATAGGTCAGGATTTTTCGACCTGGTTACATTGAACAACACAGCAGCTTTTTGGCATGTTTTGTTATTTCTGTATGACAAAAAAAACGATGACGAAGTTGCTTCTTTTACAATGGGGGTCAATAGGAAAGAATGTTGGTTTTCCCCAATTTGTGGACGTGGTCGAGGGGAATTCCTTATTATTACGTAAATACCGACTAGGACTATAGAGGGAGAGAGACACCCTCTGGCATGGACCATCTCCTGGTCAATCCCCTTAGTCTGTGAATGAATGTTCCCAAAGGAGGAATAACAGACTTTGAAGCAGCTTCGCTATGCTCTGCCAGTTACCAGGGGTTATATTTACAAAATATATAAAGAAAAATATAGGGTTACTGGTTGAGCATATAGTGCAGTCTAACAGCTGTCTGTAAATATTTCCACCATGATCATCCTTTCTAAAAGTAAATCACAGGGTAAAGATAGCTCAAACGTGACAAGGCGCAACTAGGACGAAATGGCTGCCTGCACTTCTGCCTATGGCATGGTGCTCCGAAGAGATTGGGGCTAATCTCAAACTGGTTCAATAGAATGACTTCAGGACAAACTCTAGAAAGGATTTTGGGGGGATTTGTTGATTAAGTGAGGTAGATAATAGATAACAAGGAAAGTGGGGCAATGGGAAGAAATGGGAGCCAATACATGTCTCCCCAAAAAATAATTTATAGCTTTTCGGTGTACACACTTGGGGAAAACATAATCATTACATTATCTTGGCTTCTTTTTTTGCACTCAGGGAGGAGCTCTGATCCTTTTGAGATCCAAATATCCTCCATACTGCTGAGGACTTTGATTTTTTACTTCCCATCATAAAAGCTGTACGTTATAGAGCCATGGCTATGGTTTCTGACTTGGTGTCAGCACACTGACCTTGCCTTTAAACTCTCAAATTCTCTGCTTATACAATGTCAAGAAGATGCCTCTCTCTATCCAGAGTCTTATAGATCTGACAAAGATTGACTGCAGAAAAGTTCAAAGTTCAACCCCCTGGCAGAGCTAAAAACAGATTTGAGAGGGTAGGACTTCAACGCGGCTCTTTCTGTAACCAGTAGTAAGCTGATACTGTTTCAATTAGACTCCAATGCCATACAAAGAGTCCTGCCATTGGACAATTGCTTCTGCTTCTAAAACCAATAATTTGATATAATTTCACTTGTTTGAACTTCCGTCTAAGACTTAAAAGTTATTTCCATAGAAGAAAAATAAGTAATATAAAAGTATCCTTTGCTCTGTCACTGTATAATATTTTGTCTATAAACAGTGTAAAGAAAACCATAATTCAACAAAGGAATCTCACTTACCCAAACACTTATTAGCAGCAGACTTCTGATAAGTTAAAAAACATAAATAAATGTGTTGATCTCTGAAATTCCCCCTGAAGTCAGGACCTGTTTCCCCCAAATACAAAATAGTTTTACATAATAAATAAACTGATATACAAACTTATACATAACATTTAAGCAGGATGATACACTTAGTCTTGCATAAAACTCCAGTTGAAAGTGCATCGTTTTGAGTCCCCCTCACCCCACCTTATTGAGGTTAAGTCTATTTCTGAGTGACTCAGATTCTTGGCAAGAAATGCGTCACCGTCATGGCTGGTGACACTCGGTTTCCTCTTTTTGTTTTACCGGTCTTGCTTAGTCCAATGTACATCCTCGGGTATGCCACCGATTCGTAAGCATTGTAATTATTTGCCAGGAGAGTTTCTTTGAATTTGCACTCGTTGTTGTAATGAACCTAAAACAGAGAAGATTAGAAAGATGTTTAATTATAGGCTATATGTTTAGTATGAGCAGTATAATGGCAAAGACATGACCTAGACGTGACCTACTTTGTAGAAATTGAAACTTGACAAAATAGTGTATAATGTTTCTAACAGTTATATTCCATATATCCTTAATGAATGCCATAGGGGTTGGCTAGTCCATTTGACTGCTTGGTTTTGTCTTTAATGTTGATGCTTTTGTGTGGTAGGGATAACCAGGGCAGGTGATAAAACCGATTATGTTAGAGCCACAATCCAACTATTTAACTATCCCATCAAGAACATTAATGAATGTGCTGTGTTGTGGGGTCCATAGACAGTGTGTGTGGGTGGTATTTTGGGCCAGTTCATCTTTACTCTGGGAAGGACAGTAGGTGCATGTGGTGGCTGGCAATGCTAAGAATGGAATGCGCAGTCTGAATGATCTACTGCGCTACCGTTCCTGGGTTTATCCGGCCCACAATGAAAACACGGCCAGGCACTGGAAGCATGCCATAACCCAGCCCAACAATGTGACACGGAAAGGAGCTGTCGGGGGTGCTGTGGTGTATGTAGCAGAGGGAGTGGTTGCTACAGCTCAAGTGGTGACATGTCATCGAGTAGGCTACTGATAAGAACATCTACCGGCGGAAATCAACCGTAGATCATCTCATACACTCACAGATCCGTACAGCTTCCCTTTGCTGTTCATAGCCACGAATAGACCGCTTTGGACGCCAAAGATTGTCACAACTCCTCTCTCTACTGGAGATATCTCAAGGAGACCTGGAAAGAGGAAAACAAATAGTCTTGTATGTGGTTCACATGCAACTATCTTCATATCACGTCATCAGTTGATTTCACTCATGTCTGGAGACAGAAACAAACTTTCAAATTGCGCGAGCATGCATCCTCCAAGAAAGAGGCTTGTAGTCGCTGTCAATTTAGAAGCTTTTGTTAAGGCCTAAAGTGCAAGGGAAAGAAAACACCAAATATCAGTTGGTATAGTGTAATATATAATTAAATATTCACTATTAGCAATTGTGAATATGAAATATTAAATGGAATTCAACAATAAAGTACTGTATTGGTGTTTTGCTATGTATTTACTGCAGCATACTGTAAATGATTGTGCATTGTGGAGAAATATTGTGGCAGGAGAAAGAATCGCTGGCTCATTAACATATCTTAAGGCATGCCTTGTAGTGGCTATATTGGTTGCATCCGATCGTGAGAGTCCTGTACCAATTTAAGTGATATGTGGTAGTAATTCCCTAACAATTAAATGTATATAGGGAACAGATCAGAGTGGTAGCGGGTCTTAAACCTTTTAATGGTTGAATATTTACCCATGTCCATTTGATCTGTTTTGCCCTGTAATCACGGACAGTTTGGAAGCCTTTGTTTAGGCCTCTAGAAGTGCAAGTGATAGAAAACAACAAGTATTCATTAGTATGCTGTAATATGCAAATGCATACAGCCAACTTGCTTGCGCTAATCCCTTGTAATTACAGTAAAATACTGTAGAAATAATGTTCTTACAGTTTAAGAGTCACATGTAACATATTGCACTGTGTTTCATTGCTCTGGCATCAAGTTACCATGAATATCTCAGTATTGTATTGACACTATCCAGAGATAGTCAGAAAATTTAAGATATCTTGTTGTAATTACAATTATTTTGAATACCAATGTATCCTCAACTACAACAACATTTCCAGTAACGGTTACAGAAACGTTTTACTTGCTATTACTTTTTACTTGCTATCAACCTTGGTTGAATACACTGACTGTAAGTTGTTAATGACAAGAGCACCGCTAAATGAACAAAATGTCAATGTAAAAATGAAAACTTGCAAAGAACACTGGGTAACATGTCGCTGCATGGGTAATTCCAGTAATATCCTGTAAAGTATATTACAGTAACATTTTTGGTACCGTAAAATGGATTACCGTAAAATGGATAACAGTAGCTGTACTGTAAAATAATAACCTACTGGCCATTACTGCCAGTAAGTTAGTGTACATTTTACAGGAAATGTTTGACAGTGCATTAACAAACATTGACACATCATTTGTTACAGATAAGGTCAATCAAGGAGCCTATGGACCTCTGGTGCTGTTCTTGTGCCTTTTTATTAAAAGTGTCCTAACTGAAGCATCATATGTCACCTAATGTCCAATTTAAGTCCTCACTTGTACTTTACATCCTGGACTTTTGAGTCCAGAATGATGTCTGGCTCCCTTTTTTAAAGGTGTTTTTATGGCGACTAGAGCTGTTCAAACAGTATCTGTGTAATGGATCTCCCTTGAATTTTATGTCATGTCTCAAAATAGGCCAAGGGAACACAAAACAACCTTTAAGTTCACAGGCAGACCTTGTCGATATTGGCGATAGGGGCGTATTTGTCACATTATATCGTTGAGAAGATACAGGGTCATGTTTGCAATGACAACTGTTAGACAAGTAAATGTTTGTTATTCTTTGTGTCTGCAAATGTAATCGAATATGACTTTGTCTCGATGGGACATTAATTTGACACGTAAGGCCAAGGGGTTAATTTACCGTAACAGATCGCCGTCCTAACTTTAGGACGTATTGGATATTGGCTTGGTTCCTAGAAATCTCTTATTTCAGACACTGGTTTCAGAGTGGAAAGCACCCACACATCATTTTTAGCCTCCAGATGTTCCAACGCATACCTACCTTATTCTCTCCTTTGACACAAGACACTTAGACCTATTTATTTAATAGGCATTGCTTTTTAGCTAGCTAGCATAGCACTGCATGTTACCGATGCCACACAGACAACGTATTTCATCAGCAGTGAAATAAGAAGCACATTCTAATACTGCAATCAAGTCATATCTATTCCACTTTCAAATTAAACACATTGGTGAGGCATTTCAAACCGTGCCAAGATAACCCTGCCCCGACACTGACACTATCACATAATATGCCAGATATTCATATCGTGATAATATGTTGATGAAGACACGATCTAGCAGTCTCTTCAAATTAGTATAGGCTAATTGGAATACACAAGTGGCACATAAAAACATGTTTTTATACATCTAATTAAAAAACATTTGCGTAAGTCACTTAAGTTCTTTATAATTGATTGCATGAAATATGTTATGAAATATGAAATATTTGATTTCATTTTATGAAAGGCCTATTCTAATACCAATGGCTCGCACGGGAACGGGCTATAAGTGCATGGAATGACCAGGCAGGCCAGAGTTCAGGTTGGGAATGACAGCACAAGAGGTACATGCAACTAATGTGAGAAGACAATCTAATGCGTAAAAGTGCAATAATCATTTTGAACTTACTGTAACGGTTTTCATTGTGCACTCCTGTTATTCTCCCATCGGGTGAAACTTGAATATGAAACCCAATTCCTACATTGCAATAAAGGCGTCGTAGCCGTTTAATGCCCATAAGATAGTCGCTGTCCCGGTTTATCTCTCGTTTCTCCCCAGGGATCCGAGCCAAGGACCGCGAGTACAGTGTCTCCCAGCGTCGTTCCACTGTGCCATTCAGCCTGCCAGGGAAGGGGGCACAACGCACCAAACTAGACATCAGTCCCAAGACCAATATTGGTAAGAGGGCCGATTGAAAGGCCATCCTTACCAACACTGCAGTAGCCTACAGTGTTTGTTGAGGGAGTTTAAGGGACAAAAAATATCACCACTGTGCCGGCCTTTAAGTTGGACTCCGAATAAGAAAAATGCGAACGAATGAAAAAAAGCAACGAAAGACTCTCATTCCAAGACAAAGATGATGAGTTCCCTTTGGTGCGACATCTATTCTTGCTTGGTATGACTGTTCTCTCCGAGGTAACGTGTATAGATTCGAGTCGAACTTGTCCAAGTATAAGTTGAGAAGTGTTGGCCGTCTAGGCAAGCGCCGCTCAGCCATGCCGCTTTTCCCTCTCCGACGATATTTATATCTGCTGCGAAATTACATCACGCACTACCTACTGCATCACGGGACAGTATTCTAAGCCACTCTAAACAGACGGATCCCTCATAATGTACATGCTGTGCCAAGGGTGGGGAGGGAGGGGGGCGTTTAACAAATGTAAAAACTAGACTTGCCCAGATAACAAAACAACATTTGCCAGTGTTCACTCATATTGAAACGAGCAAGACCGCGGGAAGTTGTCTATACAAATAATGCCCTTATCTAATAGTGGAAAATTAGAATAAAGACTTTGTAATAGGGTTTCTTTGTGTAAAGCTTCCTTCATTATCGGACTGAAATGAAATTATTTATGTATGGGAGGATGTAAAATAGGAAATAGCCAAGTTTACAGACTGCGGTGTCAGACAGGAGACAGTTCTATAAATGAACAATAACAGGAAAAAACAAAAGTTGAATTCAACGAATCGAAAACACTAATTTAAGACTGGCAGAGAGAAAAAAATGACCCCGGTTCTTAAAGAGAACAATGGTGAGACTAAATAGAATATGAAAAGCATGATAAGTAGATGCTCCGACTGATAATCTGCACAGTGAAGATAGTGGCACAGAAAAGCCATTCACGATTTATTCAGTGTTCATTGCCTGCCTTGTAGAGGATATCGCGACAATGTGAGTCATTGGGCTATTGCTGGCTCTAGCTCTGTCATAGTTCTGAAGTTATAATAACATAAATAAAGTAGTAGACTATAACATCACTGATAATGATAAACAATTATTACTCAATTTACGAATTCATTTGCAGTGCCAATGCTTCATTAGGAGAAAGATCATTTTGAGAATGTGGACAATAAGCTTAGTTAATACTTTTTGAAAAGAAAGGTTTGTGTTACATAGCCAATATCAGGGTGTCCCAAAGCAATGAAAGTGTGTCCAAATAATGCCCAAATTCCATCAGTGACAGTCTGCGTGAACTGTCTACTATAAGCCACCAATTTGCTTCTACAAGACTTACTTACATCTCTACACGTTGGTGAAATGGATTGGGGGAAACAACATTTTCATTAGGCTAGTCAAAACTGTTAGGTAAAATATGTTTAATCTTGAATGCGCACTTGTGCCATATAGCGTTGTGAACAGTAAGTACCCTCCTTCATCTCTAATAAAAAAGTTGTTTTGCCTTTTCGTGTATCTCTAATAACACAGAGATCTCTATGCACACAATGCTTAGAGAAAGAAACACCCCTTGGAAATCATTGATGGGTTTACAGGCGCTCTTGGGGACCCTGAACCCCCCAGTCACAAGCTGATGATTCTCATGAAAACGTTTTCTCATGTTCACGTTTGGGTAATCCTCAATGTATAGGCTAATACCACTCCGTCCCTCTATGCTGCAAATTGGAACTTTGAATGCAGTCAGATCTTGGAGCCGTACCTCGAGTTGCTCAACCTTTAGCTTGGCGACCCCTCTCTCCTGGGTTCGCTAGTTCACTAAACGCTGCCTGCTGATGACACAGAAGACGCGTCTTTTTCAGTCGGTTCATTTGATATTTTTCTGTGTCTCACAAGTGGGCTGTTTGTTCTCTGCCTTATGGATAATCAAAAAGATCGGGAGTGACGTTTGTTGTTGCGTTGGCAGCGATCACTGAGGTACACTGTGGATTATCATTCATTACCATTGTACACATCCAGTACAACTTTGGTCTATTTGTACACGTTTGAGCATCGACTCTGGAGGTTTTCCCCCATGTCAACTGAGCTTCAGGCCTATACTTTCCCCTGGTTTCGTTTTGGATCAATTCCTTATAACTGATGGGAAATAAACTATTGTGTAAATGAAACAGACATACATCAAAGCTTTTCTGGACAAAAATCTAACAACACAAACAAATATTTTAATAATGTATTTAATAACTTGCAGACTTTTCAAGCAAATATAATGGACTTACACGGTTTCTAACTGTCCTTTGAAGATGCACGTATTTGCCCATACTTCAACAAGTGACGTTTTTCCTTTCATGTAGTCCTGTGGTGCCGCTCTCCATGGTACTGTAATTTGTCTCCGCATTTTTAAGTAGGCTACACATCGCGCTGCATAGGGATTCGCTATGAAAGGGTAATGTTTTGTTTGACTTTTTAACTGTGTTCATGTTAGTTGTTCGGTTGCTCAATATCTTTTCCCTGACATATTTGACTGAATACATTTTCGACGTTGCTGTCTTGATAGCTTGAGGTTACTCCACATCTAAGCCTGTAACTTTTGAGCATGTCTTTAAACTTGTTAAATAAGGACAACATTAATGTGTAAAGAGGATGTTTGCATCAGACCTTGAATCTGGCAGCACTTTCATCAATTGGCAGGTGGTTGTAGTTTGTTTTGGTCCAAATCTATTGTTCCCTTGGTTCAATCTCTCCTGGTCAGCAAGGCAATCGACAAGTGTCTGTGATGTCCTCTGCTTTCGCCCTTTACCTGACGAGATCGAGGGACACCGTAAACTTAAATTGCCCTCAAGTCTGCACGTGAAAACCCATCCCTTGTCCCCTTACAAAAGACAGCTGGCAGAGACCTATAGTGTATTATGCAAGGGACTGTTCACAGTTCCATTTACTCAACTTTAAACCTTTTGTTTTTGTTGTAATCGGCATTTAGAAATAGAAATGTGCAAGCTTGAAAGGACATTGACCAAACTGCATGCAACTGTGATCTATACACTGGAGTTGTAGGCTATGCGTTGATAAGCTGTGATAGTCACACTTCAGTGTTTTGAGCTTAGGTGTTTCTGTTACCCATAACTGCACATTAGTCATAAAAAAAACACATACAAACCGTACAAGCTATACACTCGATAACCCAATTTGAAATCTATTTTGTTAAAAGGAACATGATGACAACATTTTAGCATGCTCTAGGTCTAGGATTATGCATTTTGCATAGTGCACCACATTACCTAACATACTCGACTATGTATTTTATGAGTAAAATCATTAAAAGCTGTATTCGATTTGTTTAATATTTCCTCAGTGCTGAAACTTTGAGCATTTTCCCAATTGTTAATTTGAATACCGCTCACTTGATGATTTTCAAGTTTGATTTGGCCTGTGTCAATCTTTTTGCCTATAAAGGGAGAAATCATCCTGGTTTGATTTTCTTTCATGCCTGCTACTGGCAGTTGCGTCAGCCAGGCTAACTGGCAGTTGCTGGACAAATCAGCCATTTCAGTGACTATAATTTCTTTATAGTTTTAGTTCTGGTGAAAGAAAATGAAATTGAAAGTGAATGTCACTAATTGTGTCAAATGTATTTACGAAAAAAAATAGTATAACATAATTTTGGTATTGACTCAGGGGTGGATGTTTTCCAGGTAGGCTACATCACTTTTATTTTAAAGTTAATAGATCAATAGGGCTTTGAAGTAGGCCTATCACTCTTGTGGATAGAAGTCGTGATTTTAACACTTTTGCTCATTATTTTATGGCATCTTATAAATACTTGCTGATGTGCACCAAATATTATTTGAGACAAAAAGTCTCACACAATTTGGAAATGGTGTCTATATTTATTTTTATATAAGCACAATTTAGTTCACATCAATATGTCACTTCTCAGTCAAGTTATTTGACCATTATGGGAAGATGCTCAACAAATAAAATATTTGAAAACCAAAACAGTGAAGTGTCTCTTTGGCTGAGAATTCATGGTAAGCAGTGCAGACGGCCTGCAGAGGGCAGAGACAAAAGCCTCCCAGGTTCTGTGAAGGCGGAATTCCTGGCCACACCAATTAGGTAGGCATAAGGGCCTGTCTCCTCTTGGAGAGACACTGAATACCTGCGCTTTTAATTTTTTTAGGACACATTTCACTGATTGTTAAGATTGCATGTTCAAACTACAATAGCAGCAACAATAATAGTAGCGTATTCAAATTCTTCGATTTCTTCATCTTTGCATCATCACTCCTTCTTTTGATCATTATTCTGATGATCGCTTGGTTATTATATTGAATTTGCTCAAATTATGACTTGCTGTTCATAAGCTCATTATTTATTGATATAGGTCACATTTCCTGTCATATATGCGTATATAAGCATTTGACGTTTCAAAGAAAAAGTATTTGCACTCCATATACACTACCAGTCAAAAGTTTGGACACACCTACTCATTGAAGGGTTTTTCTTTCTTTTTACTATATTTTACATTGTAGAATAATAGTGAAGACATCAAAACTATTAAATAACACATATGGAATCATGTAGTAACCAAAAAAGTGTTAAACAAATCAAAATATATTTTATATTTGAGATTCTTCAAATAGCCACCCTTTGTCTTGATGACAGCTTTGCACACTCTTGGCATCCTCTCAACCAGCTTCATGAGATAGTCACCTGGAATGCATTTCAATTAACAGGTGTGCCTTCTTAAAAGTTAATTAGTGGAATTTATTTCCTTCTTAATGCGTTTGAGCCAATCAGTTGTGTTGTGACAAGGTGTGGGGGGGTATACAGAAGATAGCCCTATTTGGTAAAATACAGTCCATATTAAATAAAGTCCATATTATGGCAAGAACAGCTCAAATAAGCAAAGAGAAACAACAGTCCATTATTACTTTAAGACATGAAGGTCAGTCAGAACGGGACATTTCAAGAACTTTGAACATTTCTTCAAGTGCAGTGGCAAAAACCATCAAGCACTATGATGAAACTGGCTC